GCGCTTTGGAGAGCTGACCTCAGTGCCCACGATCCTTACATTTAGGTTTGACTGCTGGGAACGCAGTGTCCTCAGCCCTTGTGTAAGCTCGGGGACTGCGTCCTCCACTCCCTCAGCCTGGACAGTTCCCTGTGGGCTCGTGCTGGTCACGGTGCTACTGGACACTCCGCTGGACACTGGCCCTCTGCAGGATCCAGGGATTGTCTCTGCAGGATCCAGAGATTGCCTCTGTTTTACACTGTTGTCTCTCACCCTTTACAGCCTACCTTTTAGAGTCTTTCTGGACCCTCAGCTCTGTGTCCTTCTTTATTTATTCATATCTCTATTTTCTTCTAGATTTGTACTCTTTGAGAATGGGCCGATGTCTTATTCACTACAGATTGCCTTTTTCAGTCCAGTGACTTACATGCATGTGACATCAATAAATATTTACGGAACAAAGGAATAAACATTTTCAACATAAGTGAAACCTCACTATAGGAACACTTAATTAAAATGGTACTGTTTTCCTTATAATATTTACACATTTTTAATAATCCACTAATTCTTTTAAGGCAATGGGTGGTCTCTTATTCTTATTCTGTTTAGGCTGCTGTAACAAAATACCATAGGCTGTGGCTTATCCAGAAAAGAAATCTTTTTATCACAGTTCTGGAGTCTAGCAGGTCCAACATCAAGGAGACAGGAGACCCTTGTGTAGTGCGGGCCTCCTGGTTCACAGACAGCCATAGTCCCTGTGCTCTCTGCTCACAGGATGGAGGGACCAGAGGACTGTGAGCCCATCCATGGGATCCGCCTCCTCACCCAGTCACCTCCCAAAAGCTCACATACAAATACTAACACACGGAAAGTAAGTTCCACGTGTGAATTTTGGAAGGACACAAACATTCAGTCTATAGCAGGGAGTTAATCCAAAACAGTAATAAAAATTGTGCTCAGAGGGAAACCTTGATTTGTTCCTGACTCTGTTGGGAAGTGTCTAGTTCTCCTTCAATAAACAATAGTATGACTTTCTTTTGTGATATTTTTACCTATTGAATATGCTTCCCTATTGTTCTTTCTATATCACAAAGCTTTTTTCTATTTAATGACTTACTGATATTTGCAAAATTTACTAATATTTAACCAATTCACGAATGTTTCAGTAATACTTTCAGGAATATTAAAAAGATTTCTTCGTTAATCATGATTTTAACCCTGCACCAAATTGATTTGTCTGCTTGACAATGCATGTACTATAATTCACTTAATCATGTATTTAAATATATAATTGGGGCGCCTGGGTGGCTTAGTCGGTTAAGCGTCCGACTTTCACTTAGGTCATGATCTCGCAGTTCGTGGGTTCGAGCCCCGCGTCGGGCTCTGTGCTGACTGCCAGCTCAGAGCCTGGAGCCTGTTTCTGTCTGTGACTCCCTCTCTCTCTGACCCTCCCCTGCTCACACTGTCTCTCCCTCTATCTCCTAGAAATAAATAAAATATATATATTTAAAAAAAAAAATAAATATATAAACTTGTAAAATACCAGGCAGAATTCATGTAGAAGTATTAATTGCATTTATAAAATTAAATATTCAATTCTTTTTTTTTTTTTTTTTTTTTTGCTTAAATCTCAGGATTTTTCTCTACTATATCTATAATACTGAAGATGAATCAAAATATATCCTTAGGGTTTGGGGGACTTCTCACAATTTTTTTGAAAACCCATGTTTTTGTTTAAAAATGTACACAACTTCCACACAATAGTATATCCTCTATCATTTCAATACAAAATAGTTGTTTTAATGTTCAAATATTTTTTAAATGCTTTTTAATTTATTTTTTGAGAGACAGAGAGAGTGATTGAGCACGGGGGTGTCAGAGAGAGAGGGAGACACAGAAATCTGAAGACAGTTTCCAGGCTCTGAGCTAGCTGTCAGCACAGAGCCCAACGCGGGGCTCGAATACACGAACCGTGAGATCATGACCTGAGCTGAAGTCGGACGCTTAACCTTAACCGACTGAGCCACCCGGGTGCCCCAATGTTTAATTATTTTTAAGTCTATCTAGAACTTTAAGCAAAACTAACAAACCCAAGAAGATGTAGCATTTTTTCTTGTGACCTCAAATAACCTCTGAGAGGTACACTGCTTTAGTAGAACTAATAAATTAACACCGTAAACATTCTTTCTTAATACATACGAGGATGCATTTTATATTTTAGACCGTATTGATTTGAGGTCCCATGTTAAAATGAATCATGAATTTGAGAAACACTGCGTCCAAAAAATTTTTTTTTAATATTTTAAAGAAACCAAGAGGAAACATTGAGGAAACTCTTTATCTCTTGTATAGCCTGGAGCCTTCATTTTTGCCAAAACTCTTTCCTCTCATGTTCCAGCTTCATCTGACTTACATTGGGGCCATGGACAGCGAATGTGCTTATGGTTCCTTGTTAGCAGGAAACAGAGCCTCACACTGTCCCCTTCAGGAAGGGGGGGGTGACGTGCAGTGGACATTGGGGAGGGAAAAACGAGCCATATCTTGACTTAATTATGTTGGATGTATTTACTAAACATTTATCATGCCAAAGCATGGTAGAGAAATCTGAGGAAATATGAGACATTACAAATACGAATATCATGGGGTCTTGGGAAGGATGCCTACTGACAGGCAGTATTCAAACAGGAGCCGCTGCAGGTGACAGCGCTCAGGGTTCGAGGTTAACAAGTGCTGTGAATTTTTTTTTTTTAATGTAGTTGAATATGCTGAGCTAGAAAAGATGAGGATTCACGCCAGTATGTGGGGAGGAGGCTCATAGGACCTACTCCACGGCATGTAATAACCTCCATTTACTATTTTGTCTTTGGGGAGAGATTTTATGCATGTTTTGTTTTAGCCTTAACATTTGCAATTCCAACTTTTCAGAAACTCTGACAGGGTGTTGGACCCAATAGATCATTAATGTTTCCAGTCATATACCAATTTAATCCAGATCCCAGAGTTCACATAGTCAGTGTATTTATTCCACCAAATTAAACCTGATAGAATACACTGAAGGATTTTCAGAAAATTATTAATGTTGGTTAAGACCTTGGAGTGTGTATTATTACAGGACTCTGATCCATTAGTGTGAAATAACTACAAAGGACTGAAATAAGTAAAAATTATTAAGTGTATTTATGGATGGGTAGACTTTGGAAAGGACAATTTTAAAAGAAAGCACAATAATGTGAATTAAAAGGGAGACAATGACATAGAAATTGTATTGATAACTCAGAATAAATGCTTAGTCCATGATTTTATAAATCATCACATTGAAAATGCAGTAGAGCTCTATGAACTTAGAATGACATTTTTATTATCTAGATTTGCTTCAGGCACCTGGGTGGCTCATTTGGTTAGGCATCTGACTTTGACTCAGGTCATGATCTCATGGTTCATAGGTTCCAAGCCCTGCATCAGGCTCTGTGCTGACAGCTCAGAGCCAGGAGCCTGCTTTGGATTCTGTGTCTCTCTCTCTTTCTCTCTCTGCCCCTTCTCCGCTCACACTCTGTCTCTTTCTCTCATAAATAAATAAACATTAAAAATTTTTATCTAGATCTACTTTATAGGAAACACAGCTACATGTTAAATTCAACGTCCTGTGAAAAACATAATTTCATACACCTTTGAATTAAGGCAACTATTAGCATCCCTGTTTGGTGGCAAAGGAATCGGAGTCAAAGATGATGAATGCTTGTCCCCCAAAAGCATACATAACTCTGTTGAGGGGATACATATACCCATTAATGAAATGTGAGATTTGATTTTCATTTCAGCAATAGTATTGAATTTTTGCTGGATTCACTCTATTTTGACTAAAATGTATGTGTGAAACAATTTATAGCCAGGAGTTATAAAACATTTTTTTAAAAATAAATCTAATGTATCAACTAAAGCCTTGCATTTAGCATCATAGTCTCCTAACTCCCACACTGAAATAGGACATGTTCACATAGTGAAGGAAGCTAGTTTGTCGAACTCTCCAGTCAGTAGTACAGTTTCTTAACTTAGAATCTTTTCCAGGGGCGCCTGAGTGGCTTAGTCGGTTAAGCATCCGACTTTCGCTTAGGTCATGATCTCGCGGTTCGTGGGTTCGGGCCCCGCGTCGGGCTCTGTGCTGACTGCCAGCTCAGAGCCTGGAGCCTGTTTCAGTCTGTGACTCCCTCTCTCTCTGACCCTCCCCTGCTCACGCTGTCTCTCTCTCTCTCCTAGAAATAAATAAAACATTTAAAAAAAAAAAAAAAGAATCTTTTCCAGCAATGTTCACTGTGCTTTGTTTTCTCTCTTGGCCAAGAGTAACTTCTGTTTCATTGACCATGACCTCATTGTTGTTTATCATAACAAAGACTGACTTGGGTTTATGGCCAAAATAATTTATACTTCAATTCACTCACTCTAAATTTTTTCATGGATTTTTCCCTTTGCATATTTCTATTTTAGATGCTTTTGACCTCAGTGACTCTTGTGTTCACTTGCTTTTGAGGCCAAAGCCCTCATGGTTGACACAGTTGGTCACTGAATGCCAGAGGGTGACTAAATGGGGTCAATATGTGTTGATTAAAGTTGACTCAAGATGGCAGTGGCATGGTTGTTTTTTTTTAATATGTGATTATTTCTAATTTATTTGGGATTCATTTAGAAACAACTCAGGCCAAATATATTTTCTAAACTTTCTGAATATTTTTTTGCCCAGTTATTGCAGCAGTTTCCTCCCTGAAACTAAGTTAACCAGCAGTTGGGTTAACTAGTAGTCAGGGTTAGGGAGGAAGATGACCTTATTGGATTCGTATTATAAGACAGGTGTTCTTATAAGTGAAAAACAGCTCTGAGGTCATCCAGACTTGATGCTTCTTTCTGGTCCTGCTCCATCTGTGAACTTCATGACACATGATGCACCATTCTCTCATCACTTCATGCCCAGAATCTTCCTTGAAAGTTTGACACATCCCTCCTTGCTTTGTGGGTCTCCTTTCCAGAGGTCATCCTGTCTTGACCCAGAACTCCTTGGTCAGTGCCCTTCCCAGGGCAGCCTTCACATCCTTGTTCCTCAGTGTGTAGATAAACGGATTGAGTGTGGGAGTGACAATCCCATAGAAGAGAGCCATGATCTTCCCCCTGTCACGAGAGTAGCTAGAGGGAGGCTGGACATACATACTGATGGCTGTGAAGTAGAAGAGGGACACCACCAGCAGGTGTGAAGCACAGGTGTTGAAGGCCTTCCAGCGACTTTCAGCAGAGCGGATCCTCATTACTGCCCGAGCAATGAGCACATAGGTGCCCAGGATGAGGGTGAGGGGCACCAGAAGCAACAGTGCCCCCAGCACGTTGAGCTCAGCCTCATTCACATGAGTATCAGCACACGCTAGTTTCAAAAGAGCAGGAACTTCACAGAAGAAATGGTCCACCACCCTGTGTCCACACCGTGGGACCAACACAGTGAGAGTGGACTGTACAAGGGAGTTGGCAAAGCCACTGATCCAGGTCCCAGTGGCCATGTGGATGCAGCGTCTGTGATTCATGATGATTGGGTAGTGAAGGGGCCTGCAAACAGCAGCATAACGATCGAAGGCCATGATGGCTAGAAGTATGCATTCAGTAGAACCCAAAGCCAAGAAAATGTACAGCTGGGCCACACAGCCCCCATAGCTAATGGTCTTTTCTCGTCCCTTAAGGTTGACCAACATCTGTGGCACGGTGCTGGTAGTGTAGCAAAGGTCCAGGAGGGATAGATTCGAGACAAAAAAGTACATGGGACTGTTAAGCTGGGGGTCTAGTCGAGAAACAAGGATAATGGACATGTTCCCAAAGAGGGCAAAGATGTAGGCCACCAGAAAGATGACAAAGAGTGGCATCTCCAGCCAGGGGCGGTCAGAGAATCCCAGTAAGACGAAGTCATTTCGTGAGCTCTGATTGTGGATCCACATGTTGTCACTGACAGGTGAAGTGCCAGCTGAAACCTCTAAATGCCCACTGCCAGGCACGGGTGCCAGTGGTAAAAGGGAGCCACTGAGAAGTAGAGACAAGAGGTGGTGAGCTGGGCTTCTGATTTCTGCTGTGATCTGCACCCACACCTTGACTGTGGTAACATGTTGAGTCAACATTGCCAATGTACCACTGAAAGATTATTGAGAGAGGAATAAAGAGAGCACCATCAAAATAGGAAGTTTGGCTTCCTTCACGCGTGCCGTCTGGTTAGCTGCTCACCCCTTTTGGGATTTTGTATCTTCCAAAAAGTTTCCATAAAACTTCCATTACTTGTACATGTTATGAATATTTAATGGCAACAACGGAGTACAGATTAAAACAGTGGGAAAAGTGGAGCTTCCCGAATACAGGTCAAACAGAGGTCAGCTTGAAGGTCAGCAGGTGGATCTCTGTCTCCCTTAGACTGACTCGGTCACAATCTTCCTGGGAACTGCTCTGCACAGATTCTACATGATAAGAGTTTGCACTTTCAGGAGACCGCTCACCACTTCCCAGCATAATGCTCATCCTATTCAGAAAATCCTAAAATAGAAGGAAGAGACAAAAAGTTCAAACAGGATAATATACACATCAAACAACCCTGAAAACCTTGGTTGCTGCGAAAATGTTACTTGAAACATAGCTGGGTAAATGTGAGATAAGTTTTACTTCTGAGGGAGGCATCCAGAAAGAGGTTCGGGTGTTTGGCTCCCTGAATTTCAGAGCTAAATATGAATTTCTAACTCTTCAGGATAGTCATTTAAATTTAAATCCCCCCTTTATTCACTCCTCTCACTCACTGTTACACATTTCTACTTCCTAGGGAACCTGCACCCTCCCATCCAGATTACACAATTTCTTTATTATACAACAATCTGATGATGTGCATGGAGCTAGAGAGTATAATATAAGCAAAATAAATCACTCAGAGAAAGACAGGTACCATATGATTTCACTCATATATGGAACTTAAGACACAAAGCAAATGAGCAAAGGGAAAAAAAAATACAAACTAGGAAACAGACTCTTAACTACAAAGAGCAAAGAAGGTTGATGGAGGAAGGTGGGTGGGGGATGGGTTGGATGGGTGACGGGCATTAAGGAGGGCACTTGTGATGAGCACTCGGTGTTGTATGTAAATGTTGAGTCACTATGTTGTGTACCTGAAACTAATATTACACTGCATGTTAATTGTACTGGAATTAAAACTAAAAAAGGAAAAAAGCAATACAATGAGTAACTTTTCCATTCCCTAACATCCTAAATTCCTTTCAGTTTTGCTCCCTTTTATGGCAAATTCATGTTGTATTTCTCTCTAGTTATTTTAGAAAAGGCATTTTCCTTCTTGCTTCAAACCTAGCCATTCCATTTTCCAAGAGTGTGACTTTGGAGATGTCACATCATCGTTTTTTGTGGTTCAATTTTTCATCTTTAGAATGATCATAATTTTCTCATAGGACTGAGTCATATAGTATAAATCTCAGTGTAACTCCATTCTTTTCATATGTTTATAATTCAATAGCTATTAACAATTATTTCTTTCCCTACTCACAAATTCCCTAAAGGACTGGAAATTTCTTATTTCTGTGCCTCTGTACACAGTGTATGTGACATTTGCAAGAAATGGGTGATCGTTCAGGAGGATCACTCTGGACCCCTGCTCTTCCCTCCCCTCGTGTTCCCTACTGGTGGGGTCATGCGCCCGCATGGCCGAGTCCTATGCTGCTGTCACTGAGTATGGAATCAGACAGCGGGGAAGAGTGACAGATGGCAGGAAGACATGTCTGCCTCAAGGCCAGACCTCAGAATCACTAAATCTTGCACTCGCAGTGTCTGTGTTTTATGGACAGAACCACAATTCTCTCAGTGCCCAGAGCAGAACCCTTATCTCTGAATTGCAGTTGCCTGTGTCCCAGGTTGTCAAGCAGGATCAATTCACACTGTCAGTCATGTGGATTCATTAAATCTGTATCCACTCAAACACATGACAGCAGATACGGAATATAGCTCCATGTTACATGGTGTCTGGCTGTCAGCCTGGTCTCTCCAGTTACAAGCTTTCATCTTCATAGCGACCCAGCAGGTGTGAAGTTCAGACCTGACCATGCACAGCTCAGAATTCTTCAGTGAATCTCCACACACATATCACAACACAGCCTTAGACTCGAAGGCTCCAGCCATGAGGACATACCCGCAATCCAGCCCACTGCTCCCTCCCGCTTTGTGGGAGCATCTGCTGCTTTCCATCCTGTGAACATCGTTTCAGGTAAAAAAGGTTCCTAAGCACGTCACACCCTTTTCTTTACCGATCCTCCAAGCAGTGTATTTGTAATTCCCCTATGACACACAGTTTATTTTATATACATATATATGTGTGTGTGTACACTTATATCCCTGTTTTAGTACCTGGCCACTTTTCCTACTGGACTTAATACATACATACTCTCTCATTATGAGTAAGGGTGTGACTTATAGAAACAAGTTTAGACGATAGGCATTTACCATGTTTTAATTAATGGGAATTCAGTTAGAACCTGAAGCTCCGAAATGCTTCCCTTTGAGGTTGTGATGTGTTAGACTATGCCAGCATCTTGACGTCATGATTTCCTTTCACTCGTGACCTCGGTGGGTCTCAATGATATTTTATCCCCATAGAACAAGATACGCCAGCTGTTCCTCTACTCCCAGACCATGAAGCCAAGAAGAGTGAAAAATGCCTTACATTACTTCTAATGCAACCATTTTAAGTGTTTTATTGCCATAGTTTGATGTTCATTTCTCCCCTGATTCACTTCAGATACTTCTCAATGTGATGTCTGCAAATCTTTCCCATGGCTTGATGCCATGTTCTCTGTGTACTGGATTCCCTTGTTCTAAACAGACCCATGTTTAAACAGTCTTTGATCTGTTTGACTGGTGGGTCTTTCAGAGCTCAGCTGGTTCCTACATGAAGTCAGTACCTTATCATCTACAAACTTTGTAATGTAAATCACAGTTTCAGTCTAGAGGAGTGGGAAAAAGGCACATCTTACAATATTTAAATGAAAATACAAGGTTTCCAAAGTAAATAACGCCAATAGGAATAATTACATTTTCCCATAGCTTTCCTTATAACGGAATAATGTATAATAAGGATCTGCAAATACCAGAATGTTTGCATCTAACTTTCCATAATATACTTATATACATTATATGTATGTATATATATAATTGCTTTTGTGCATATATACAGCCCTCCTCTCATGCATGTTTGGTTTGTTCTTATAATAATTCCCTAAAGTAAGAATCCTTTTGTAAATGACAGAACAGAGAAAACACAGGCTCCAAGGGGTTACAAGACTTGCCCACGTACATTAATCTAGTAAATTCAGAAGCAAAGATTTGAATAATATATGATTTTGAATCCTACATCAATACACTTTTCTTAATTCCACTATTCTCTCAAGCAAAAATTTAAGTGGCTGTAAAATCGGTATTTTTCAATTAATTTTTTTTTTACTCTGCAGTTCTACCCCTGAATGCCTCCTTTCCCCAAGTGCATGGAGTAGCAAAGCAAGGTGACCTCTGATTTTGGCTCTCCTTCCCTCCCCAAACCCCCGTGGCATTGGCCTGGTGCTGGGCTGTAAAATCTAGCGGGTTGTTTGCTTGGGAGGGAGAGAGGGGTTGTTGCGGAAGACTGACCTCAGGCTCAGACGTGACGCTCAGACCCTGGTCTGCTGTCTGGATTTCCTGTGGGCTCCGTGCAGCGTCAAACCTGCTCCCCTCACCTACTGAAGGGCCAAGGCACTAGCTCCCAGTTATGGCCATCCCCAGACCCTGCAGCCCCATACGGCGCTTTCCCCTGAGTCTTCATGCCCTGAGTCCATGTAAGCCTCTGAGACTCAGCATGATTAACGTTTGCTGCCAACATGCCCTGGACAGAAGAGCCAGAGGGACCAATGCGTGAGACAACTTCAGAAGCAATCAGGACAATGTTTCCAACAGCGTACAAACTTCGGGCAAGTTCAGAGAGTCACCTCAGAGGAAACCAAATCCATTCCAATAAGACTTGGTTTTAGCAGTTGTCAAGACGATTTTTAATTTTTTTTATTAATTTATTTATGTTTACTTATTTTTGAGAGAGAGAGAGAGAGATAGCACAAGCAAGGGAGGGGCAGAGAGAAAGGGAGACACAGAATGCAAAGCAGGCTCCAGGCTCTGAGCTGTCAGCACAGAGGCCAACACGGGGCTTGAACTCATGAACCGTGAGATCATGACGTAAGCCGAAGTCGGACGCCTAACTGACTGAGCCACTCAGGCGCCCCAAGATGATTTTTATAATATCAATTATGAAATAGGTAAAATTACTCCTTACATAGTCTCACTATTCTGAGAAAAATAGGACTTCCTACAGTCACAAAATTAATCTTTCTAAATTTGGTTTTTTATGTTTTCCTCTCATAATGGCTCTTCATTCTAACTCTTTACTTAATATTTATTATACAAGGTATTTAATAAATGTAAGATATATATTAATTCATTTGGCAATCATAGCCACTCTATACATTAGGGAAACACATTTTAACTATTCATATTTAGCTGATGGCAATCCCCAAAATCAGAAAAATCAAAGAATTTCCCCACGATCATAGCCAGGTAGACAAGGACCAAGACAAATGCTTCCAAATTTGATCTAGATTTTCTTCCTCCAAACTACTGAGCATTACCAGTCCACACTCCGCACGGTGAGCCATCGAAATGAGCACTCGGCATAGGTTTTGTCCCTATCTCCTTTACATTAGCCTTTCTTCTTCCTTCCTTCACACCCTTGGGGCAGTGGAAGGCACACGGCGTGAAACGGACGTGACCGTTCACACAGGACACTTGTCAGCCTCTGTCGTCTTCATCATGTCGCGAGCACCTGCCAGGCATATTTCTAAATGGGTCTGTCTTGAGCGTCGTGCTGGCACCTGCCCGCACCACTCGCCGCCAGCAGGCTGCCCCCCCCCTGCCCCCTCAGGCTACCCCCCCACCCGCCCAGGTCCTCTGAAAGCAGCAGGCTTCACCTTCTCCCACGTTCTTGGCTTCCTCCCATCCACCTCCTGTCTTCCAACAGTTTATCCATCTCTTCTTGGCTGTCGGTCCCTCTCTAGCCTGC